TCCACCTCCCCCATCAGGGGTCAAAGCATTCAAATGTCCTGATTAGTGATATTTTTAAAAGCCCTAATTATAGATTTAAGACAGAGGCCTTAGTGGGGCTTTAGGGAGTTTGTGAGACTTAATCTAGGAGCTGAAACAGGCTCTTTTTTTATTTTTGCATCAATAAAAATACAGTTGGCAGTCATCAGCATCCATGGCTCACATAAATCTTGAACTTTTGACTTAATTACCATGGGAGAGTTCACAGGGCAGCCTGGAGTGGTTGAAAGAGCAGTGTTCAGGGAGCTGGAAACTTGGAGCTGGCCGCAGCCCGGCCCCTGGCTGTGTGGCCTTGATCAAATCATTTAACCTTGCTGGGTGACATTGATCACATCAGTTATCAGGGCAGATGGTCACCCAGGTCTTTTTCAGTACAGCATTATAATATGATTCCATGTTTTTCCTTTAAAGCATTGGGCTCTACTTTCTTTTTGTTCCAGAGAGAGAGTATAGACCATAAACCTTAGGTGTCAGGGTGGGATATGTCAGGGCTTTTGTGGGGACAAGGCCCACCAGCCTATGGTTCTCATTAAATTACAGGGCCAGGCCCCTCTAGATGGCTGTGGTGGCACATGCCTGTAATCCCATCACTTGGGCGCCTGAGGCAGGAGGATTGTCATTAGTTGTCCAGCCTGGGATACATAGTTCAAGTCAGCCTGAACTACAAAGCAAAATGCTGTCTCAAACAGAATAAAAACCAAACCAAACCAGGCCCTTCTAATCCTACCATTTGTCAACAGAAGCAGTACCTACCTAGCACAAAGGTAATTGGAAAGAATGTTAAAATGGGGAGAGGCCTTTTGAGAACAACTCTCTCACTTTATAGCCAAGGTGTTGAAGACTCATGGTCCATCTGTTCATCCATCAGCCCTGGAGTCCCTCCTGTAGTGGCCGAAGAGAGCTCAAGCTGCAGCGTGAGGTTCCCTGTCCCTGCTAGTGATCAGACATCACCAGCAGTACTTTCCAGGACAGATACCCTGGTGCGGAAGCCACATCAGTGATGAAGAGGCTGTGCCTTCACTGTCTGGTGGCAGGGCATAGAAAGGCTGTGCCAGAGTACTAGGAGGGCTGTTCCTGTGGAGGGTGTGAATATCTCTCTGGTCAACCACATTTTAAGAGTCTTAAAATTCTACCGAACCCTATCGCTAACAGGCAGCAACTGTTTCAGTGTAACAGTGGTAATGCGTAGGTATCTTAGTAATAGAGTTTTATTTATTCATTGTGGCTGGGTCTTACTGTTCTTTTATTTGCTCGTCATTAGTATTTAATGACTAGGAGAACATTGTTGTTTCGTTTATATGATGACAGAAGATCTAAGGATGTCAGCGCCTAAGGGACTCTATTTGTGATCGAGGTCAACTTGTTTTCAGGTGGTTTGAGATGACTCATTTGTGTGCCCCCACAAGTCTACATCACAGTTACCCCTTTATTCATTAAGGGACTTTAAACTCATTTTTCCTGTACTTCTAAGGTTATACCCAGGGAGGCATATTAAATAGATGCTGGTGTATCTGTACTTGATTTCAAACAATGTGTCCTTGGCTTGCTGCTTCATCTCCGACAAGGATGTTGGTGAAACATCTCTTTTGGTCATCTCCTATGTACAAGGGTCACCTCTGCTTTCAGAAATCTTTAATTTGCCGCACCATTTCCCTCTCCGAATGAGGGTTGTTGAAGCTGTTCCTGAACCCTGGAATGAAATAGGCCTTCTTAGCCTCTGGCTTGTCCAAGGTGCTTGGGCCTTTCCATGTGGTTAGAAGGCAAAAATGGCAGGAAAGATTGATGTAAAAAGAGAAAACAGAGAACACAAAGCTGAGGAAGAAGGAAACACTGCAGGGTTATTCTTAAGATATTGTACTTTTTCTGATTCTTTAGGAGAAGCCATTGTAAAATAATAGTTTCATCCTTTCATTATTAAAAAACAATTGTGTGAGCTTGATATCTTAAAGGGAGGCTTAGTTACACAGGGCTGTCATGCCCGTGTGACACTGATTCCCCACAGTGAGGCTGGTCAGGCAGACAGAAGCCTAGGCAGGGGATTGGGGTGTTCACAGGCACAGAGAACCCCTCAAATGCCTTGGCCAAGTGGCCCGTTCTGTCAGGTCACGATGAGGGATTGCTGTGAAATTTAATTTTAAGCTGTAGCCATGTACGGGATCTGCTCCTACTTGGCGATTTGATTTCATGAGGTCCCCACCCACCTCAGGTCTCAGAGACTGAGCTGAGATGTTGTGAGCACACCCTGACACATGGTTAGATATCTGTTTTGTGTGAACAGATTTTATAGGTAAAATTTTTTAAATTTTTATTTTATTTTTTTGGTACCAGGGATCGAACTTGGGACCTTGCACTTGCAAGGCAGGCCACTGAACCACTGAGCTTAATCCCCGGGCCTATAGGTTCAGTTTTGATGACTGAAATTTCACCTCGGGGAAGTGGCTACCTGCCAGAAATTCCAGCAAAAATTATTTTACCCTAGTCCTTAAATCATACCTTCGGTGCTAGGACAAAAGGCCTTGGTCACCAGGCCTGTGCAGTAAATGTGCCCAGCGACAATCCCTGTGATACAGGTGAAACTTCACCTGTGGCTTAGCCCAGTGATAGTAAAAAAGATCTGTATTCCTACTTCCTTAAGCCAAGTCCCATTTTGGTGGGGGCACGAAAATCATGCTTAATAGTATGTGAGCACATTTCTGTTGATTTCATTCATGTGAAAAAGAAACAACATTCCAAAGGATCAGCTTAGTGGTAATTGATGCTATCTGAAAGAGTTACTACATTAATATTTAGCTAATTCACGTGAATAGCCTATTGTGTTTACTTAAACAAATGCCGTGAGTACAGACACCTGACAGCATGAGGCATGCTTTTCATTTAGGTCAGATTTATAAAAGTCTTTGTGTAGCAACAAAGCTCATTATTTATTTTGTGTTCTCAATGGTTTCTTTTCAGTGGCTGTGGGTGGAGTTTTCTAGGTGGAAGCTTTTAGAAAATGAAAGATTATTGGGATTTTTTTCTGTATGTGCCGGGTCCTGCGGGTCTTGTGATAAATGGGAGTCAAGTACTCTGTGGTGAACTCTCAAAAGAAGAAGTGTTTATGGACATTAGACACTCAAAGCCAAATGGCTACCCAGGTTGCCTGCCCATTGCAAATGCTCCTGGATTTGAAGGAAAGAATGCAACCCCATCTTTCTCTTCTGTCTTCTTTTCTCCCTGCTCTCTCTGTCCCCCCTCCCCATGAATACGGACTATGTTTTTACCCTTCTCTGCACTTGGTATCACATGATGCTGTGTAAATCCCACCACCTTGCCACTTGGGTGTTCACAAGGAGAAATAAGATACAGAAAAAAATCTTAGCCTTGTCTTTTATGACAGGTAGGGGTAGGTGTTTGGGGTCAAATTATTCTAATATATAATTGTAATACAAGAATATAGCTGCTGGGATTGTTACTGCCCACTGGCTTGCTGTGCCCCTGTAGAGGAGAGGACCCTTCTAAGCCTGCATCAGAGACCCAAGACCACTTTGTGTCTGGTTTCTGGAGTGTGGGTGCTGCCGCTCAGTCTAACCCTTACTAGAAAGCAGCAAACTAATGAAGCAGCCTGTTGATGGACCCTGTGGGGTAAGAGAGTACAGGGATTGTGATTACTGATTTGCTAGGATAGAAACATGAATGTGAAAAATGAAGTTGCTACTCTAGATTTCGGTGGAAGTTCTGAACAGTAGTAAAGGAGGAGCTGTGTACCCTTGGCCCAGGCTAGCTATCCGGCACTCCAGTTTTACGTATTATGTAGTTGAAGGCATGGGTTCTAGCCCTGCAGAGAAGCTAAATCTTGGTAGTAATGGAAAGTAAGGCCCTGGCATCGGACCAATCCAGGTTCAAATCCTGGTTGCACTTCTTTTGAGCTTTATGGCTTCTGGCAGATTATTTCTTAGCTCCTTAGTTCCCTTACCTGGGGAACAAGGATGATAGTAGCACCTTTTTCATTAGATTGTGGTGAGGATTATTTTATTTAAAAGGAAAAAGTTCTTACTGCAATGCTTGGCAAGTAAGCATCATGCAATCAGTAGCAGTCATTAGCCATTATTAGCAGTGAAAAATATGTAGCCATACTGTGCCTCAATGCTGTGGCTCTTACTCATAAAACATACTTCACTCGATGGTTTCAAAATGTACCTCCTTTCTTGAGTTTCAAAATCACTTGTGTTTGTGACCACAAAGGCCATTGAGAGGGCCCAGCTTTTGATAGCATTTAGCTGGTCGCCCCCTATTAAGTTATCAACTTAGGCACAAGAATAGGATTATGGTGTTCACATAACCACTGTTGGAGAGGAAAACTCTTAAAATATATTTAGTGATAACAGTATTTCATTATTCTGTATTAACACATATTTGGTGATGTGGTAGTTTGTATTTGCATTGGGAAATTAATGATGTCTCCTTGGAGCATTTCACCATATTAGGATGATAATATACAGTACTGATTGCCCTTTAAAGGAAAACTCTGATGGATACGTTGATGAGGCTCTCGGGGATGGCCTGCTTTTACCAGTGTGTACATGTGATCATTTAATAGTTGTGTTGATCTAAAATGGTGTATTTTTTGGAGGACAGAGCCATTATTATTGCCTGTGTTCTTACTGGGAGTATAAAATAACATTTTAAAACATGATTTGACACAAAATTATTTTCTGGCACCAGTACCAAGAGCAAGAAGGTGTCTCCAATGCTTTTTTCCCTGTTAATAGACATAAACCAATAAGCAGTCCCTTGAGGGACCTTCTGCGAGGCCAGCTGGCCTAGACTTCTGAAAATGTGTTCCTTATGGAAATACTATCCAAAAATTTTAAAATATCAGACCCTTTTCATACGCAGTAAAATGAGCTTACCTTGTTTTGGAGTTTACTTATGGAGGTGCAGTTTTCCATGTACATAAATCTAAATGTTGTCTTCCAAATCAGGAGCACCATACTGGACCAATACGGAAAAGATGGAAAAGCGACTACACGCTGTCCCCGCGGCCAACACTGTCAAATTCCGCTGCCCAGCTGGGGGGAATCCAACGCCAACAATGAGGTGGCTGAAAAACGGGAAGGAATTTAAGCAGGAACATCGTATTGGAGGCTATAAGGTAGAATTAAACTTTCAAAATATTGTATTTCTTAAATGTTTGCTTATTTTTGAAAGCCCTCCAAGGTCAGCAAGAGCTACAAGAAACGTTTTTGGGGAAAAAAATCAGTAATTATAATTGATCGTGTTAATGTTTGATATTAAAAAAAATCACCCTGCACTTGCATGCAATTTTAAAGTACATTGCCCATTTGCATTGTTTTTTTTTTTTTTTATATGAAGAGAGTTTATAACGAAAGGGTTGAAAGTTGAGAGTCTGTTTTCTATATGCTTTATGGTCTGTAAAACAAAGTGATGTAGAATTTGAGAAGTTTCAGTGTAATTTCCTTACATGAACAAGACTTCAGTAACAGTGAACGGACTTGGACTAGAGACAGGTGTGTGAAAACTTATTCATGAACTGAATACTAGAAGATGATAGAGTCAGGCCTCTGTCTTCCATCTTAGAGATGTCTAAAGAGTCCACCATCTTGTCCTGAAATTTAGTCTCCTCGCTCATTTGGGTGTTGGAAATCGACGGCATCTCTGTGGAGTTGTCTGTGAATGTTCCTTTGAATCTTTGCCCATCCACTCAGCCAACATTGATTCAACACCTCGGTGCGGGGCAGTGTCCTAGGCTCTGGGGAAACTAAAGGGGCCAGGGTGTAGTTCAGGTGCACAGTTGGCCCTGGTCCAGTGGGCTCCAGACAGTAGAGCTGACAATCAGGCGACACTGATAAGTGTGTAGAGTCACGAGAGTGTCCTGTGTTCCGTGGATCTGCGCGGAGAGGCAATGTGAGCTCTAAGGGAGAAGACGAATGAGAGATCTGGGAGAGATTTGGGGCCAAGCTGGAAGGCAGGATGTCTTGAGAAGTGATACAGTAAGTATATGGAAGCTTTAAGTTGTTGAATAGAGAGAGAGAGAGCTTTAAGAATTTAGTATGTGATGAGGACTTGTCATGAAATTCTTTGGTGCATTTGGAACTGAGTGGGAATATGGTTACTTCTTGCTGCATTAAAAAATTGTCCCATGTTGTAGAGTTTTTAAACAGCAAGAGCTGTTATCTCCAGTTGCCATGGGAACCCAAGAATCCAGGGGTGTCTTCTGTCTCTAGGTCTCTGCTAGCACTGTAATCAAGGTTCCAGTTAAGGCTGGGATCTCGCCTGAAGGATTAACTGGGGAAGGAACTGCACATGTTGTTCTCAGGATTCACTCCCTCTCCAGGTTTTGGCTATTTTTTCACCCAGAGTTCCTTGCCACTTGGGCCTCTCTATAGGAAGAAAACTACAAAGTTGTCATCAGGTTTACGAAGCAAGAGGAGCCAGAGAAAATAGATACAGGAAAACAGAAGTCACAGTCTTTTGTGCTATGATCACGGAAGTGACCTTCCGGTACCTTTGCTGTTTTCTATTATTAAGCAGGGCACTAAGGAGATGACCCAAGGACCAAGGACATAAATGCCAGCATGATGGGGATCATAGGGACTCATCTGAGAAACTTGGATCAAGGGTAAAATAGAGTGTTTTCGCTCAGATCCACAGTGGAGAGGAGTTCTCCATGACAGCAGTGGGATGTGTAAAAAGCCCCTTTCTCACCTGACCCACAAGTCCAGCTCTACTGTTTGTATGGCTGCAAGAGTCTCCACCCCATCTAAAAGTGCCCTGGAGCCCTTTCTGTGAAATCCCACACCCATCTTTAAAGGGTCATTTGGTTCTGCGAAAGGTTTTGCCTTTTTCTTTTAATGTTTAAACATTAACGCCCAGGGGCCAAAACCCAGAGGAAAACGGGGAAAGCCTGTGAGTCTGTCTCTCAGATCAGGTAAGGGGCAGGTAAGTGTGAAACAGGTGTAAGGCAAATCTTCCTGGTGAGCGCCTTTGAAACTTGCCTGTGGAAATACTTCAGTCACCTTCTGCAACTCCTGCTTATTGACAGAAGCGGGAGGCAGAGGAGTGATTTGTCCTTTTGACTTTAGTTCAGTCTTTAGATCAAGTATGATGAGATTGGCAGGTTGGCCCTTTCTTAAAAAAAGCAAGAAAAAAAAATTAGACAAAAGATTTCATTAGGTGGCACTGGTCAGAAAGGAAGAGTCAAAGCACTAAATTTGTGGCTTCTCGTATTATTTTAACTACTCTACATACACACTGAAAACTCCTCTAATGGATGCAGCTTCAACGATTGATTTAAATACAATTTAAGTAGAGCAGTGGTCAAAATCCTGGTGGTTAACTGATTCTTCAAATTAAGATAGTCTTGTAAACAAGTACAAAGAGAGCCCATGAACCCCCAGGGACTCCCAATCTCAAAGTAAATAAGAACAACATCATTATTATGGGTAAGGAGCTTTTTGCAAATCTGAATTAGTGATTACAAATATGCTGGAAGACTAGGGGGGCTTAATGAGGAAATGCTGCTTGATTTTGAACAGGTGCAGTTCAGTTTTAATTATTTATGACAACATTCTGCTAAGTGAAGAGCACCTACAGTACGTTTTCAAAGCAAAACAAAGAACCCTTTGCAAAGTCTCCAGCCCACAAGGACATACATGACCAGAGTGCTTTTCTTGGGTTAGGTTTTGAGCCATTTCTGGAGGGAAAGAGAAATAGAATGTGTGGGGTCAAAAAATCTTAAGTATATTTTGTTTTATTAAAAAAAAAAGGCAAAGGGAGTAGAGTTCTACATGTATGGAATGCAGGAACCTGGCTGGTGGTAACGGGGGCTGCTTGTTGTCCTTGTAGGAGGCTAGGGCAGTGGGGTGAGGTGACCTGGGAGGAAGGTGAGCCTATCAGATGCAAATGGTTGCATAAGGGATTTGCACAACAGTGGTGGAGCTGGACATTCATTTGGGGGAGCCTGGAAACTCAGCCTGGGACTTGAAAAGGAAAACCTGGAGCTCTTATCTCCTGGGAAAATGCAGTTATCTCTAAGGCACAGTCCATCCTAGAGGGGTATGTTAAACCAGCCCCAGCTGTCCAGGCAGGAAGCCATGGGAAGCCCCCCACGCCACACCTACCAACAGTGGGGCATCCCACTCTGGGCCAGCTTTTCATCAGGTGTGCTTCAGGCTCATAACCCTGGGCAGGGCCTGACCCGGGCAGCATGTAGGGAGCGTGGGCCCTGGCATGGGTCTTTCCCTCTGATAATTTCTCCATTTCCTACATAAACTTTTAAAAATATATGTGCTGCGGAAGAGAGCGCATAAACTTTTAAAGAAGTGTGCCACTGAGCATTAGAGATGAGGGAGCTATATTGTGCGATTTGTAGTTTTCATTCTGTGGCACTTCCTCCAAAGCAGAGAGCTAACTGAAGCGCAGAGGGCCCTACCACCTCTGATCTGCTTCTCTGAACCCTTTTTGTCACAAGCGAAGCAGTGTCAGGATTTGCAGCAGGTATTTTTCCAGAGCAAAGACCTGACACTTTGTATAAACAAAGGTTTGTTGTTTCTGCCAGTTATCCCTTTGTTTCATAAATCTGCTCATTAACCCTAAACCTGTGGTTGTACTTTGATGGCTGAGCTGTCCTTCCAGCTCTTTCTGCCTGTTTCTGGGCACTGTGGCTCTTCTCTGCCACATTCGCAGCTCGTTTTGGAGGGGTATACACACGGGACCAGTGAAGGGAAAACAGAAAACCAGAGCGAAGTCAGCGAGAATTATGAAATGGTACAGAAAGCTCATTTTAATGAAAGTGACCTGTGGAACTGTTCAGTGTTCTGTGGCTCAGTCTTATTTATCACGGAGCTCCTGCTGAGCCCTCTTTAGGTGATTAAGAGTCAGATTATTATTTTCTTTAGTGTGTGCAGAGGCTAGTTCAGTGTTACTAAGATGTAATTAATTTACTATAAGAGTAATGCTTGACTTGGAGCATGACTCTGTCTTCCTAATAGTGCTTATTCATAGATTTTTACATCCGCTTTATCCAGGGACTATTTCTTAAGCCCTTTGTGCCTCAGGTCTCCTACCTTAAAATGAGAAGATTGGACAGTCTTGAATGTCTGATCCCTTCTCGTTCTAAGAACTGTTCTTCCTCTAAGGACCATAATGTAGCCATAGCTATTTTTCATCTTAAACAACAGAACAGATTTTTTTTCTTTTAATAAAAGCTTACCTTAGGCCAGGGATGTAGCTCAGTGGTGCTGTGCCTGCCTGGCAAGTGCAAGGTCCTGAGTTTGATCCCCGATACCAACCCCTCCAACAAAAGACAAGATTACCTTAATGGCTAGATATTTCATGGGATTTAGAAGGGTTATTGCAATGCAATGCAAAAAAGCAAGAAATAACTGTGATAACAGACCACCTCGTTTTTAGATAATAATGCAGGCATAGGTGATTCTTAAAAAACCACCTTTAATGCCACTTATTAGTATTCAGTAGAGACCAAGAGAGATCACAAGACAGGCTTCCTCAACATGGCTGTGAAACTGTTAAATAGCCCACAGCACCAAGTCTTCTAAGGTTGAAATTCCCATGAAGCCCCTCAGTAGAGGGGACTTGAGTGTGGACTGTTCATTTCCAACCATATTTCACATGTAAAAATAGACAAATTTTGTTTTAATTATTCCTAACCTGGTTGTTTTGATGCATATGTCTGGTGCATATTTTCTAGATTACTTAAATGTCATTTGAAAAAAATTTTCTGTGTGTGTGTGTTTTGCTTGGGATCAAACCCAGGGCCTCACATATGCTAGGCAAGGACTCTTACCACTGACCTACATCCCCAGCTTTGCAAGTGTTTAGGGAGAAAATTATGACTAGCATTCTGACAAGTTGGACATCTCCAATCCTGAGATCCAAAATCTAAAATACTCTAAAACTTGATTTTTTGGAGTGCTGACTTGATGCTATAGATGGAAGATTCCACACATGACCTCATGAGATAGGTCAGAGTCAAAATGCAGGAGCACTAAAAATGTTGTATAAAATTACCTTCATACTGTGTGCGTAAGGTGCCCAGGAAGCCTAAATAAATTTCATGTTTACACTTGGGTCTCAAGACACCTCACTGTGTGTATGTACACATTCCAAAAT